GTTAACTAATAGTGAAATATTAATGGCACATAAGGAGCTAGCACAGATGCCTTAGTGCTATTAAATTTTAATAGCACTAAGACATTCGTGCTAGCTTCTTATGTGCCATGAATATTTCACTATTAGTTATATATATATATAAGTTTGGGACTCAAGGATCGGTCTAATAGCGTGTTCGACAGACCCTGGGTTAATCGCTCCGAGAGCGATTAATGACGTCATAAGTCTCTACTAGCCGATCATAAAGCTTATAAGTACTTGTTCGACCAATAAATATAGATTGAATAACCTAGAGTGGGTTAACCTACCCTTATAGAAATATTATATTAAGTATTAAAAATACTGGATAATAAGTAATTATCAATGATTCTTAGTATGATATTTCTATAAGGGTAGAGCCAGTCGAACATGCTATATGTGTGGAAGGTTGATTCGCCATACGATAATCGAGAAAATTTCCATACGTGCGTTTTACATGTTGGACATATTATCTTCCCACTATCATATTAATATTATTAAAGTAATATTAATATCTAATGGCACTAAACATCCGTGCTTGGCTCCTTATAAGCAATTTAAATATTTCTATTTTTTATATTTTATATTCGTTTGACATGATTTTCATAAATATTTTTTAAACATTATTTAAACATTTTTAAAATATTTATTTTACATTAATTATTCATTGAAAATAATAATTTCAATTAACATTTTTTAAACATTTCTGTAACGATTTAAAAAAAACGTTTATTTTATATTTATTATTCGTTTTATATAATGATTTTATATAATGAAATTATTCTTTTCGACAATTTCGGATTCGAAATTATCGAGGGAGGATTTGCTAAAGTTTTAAAGTGTGTTTGACAACCTTCGGTTTCTAGCAATTATAAGACACGAGAAAATTAGGAATTAGTTTTTCTTATGAAACAATAAGAACAAATAAGTCTCCTTTTTTTCATTATAAAAACATTTATTTTATTGTTTGAAATAATGTTTTTTTAACGTTATAAAAGCATTTTTTTAACATTTGAAAAAAATGATTTTTAAACGTTTTTACAAATGTTTATAAAAACGTTAAAATAATAAGATAAGTCCTATTTTTTTCATTAAAAAACATTTATTTTAATGTTTGAAATAATGCTTTTTTAACGTTATAAAAATATTTTTTAACATTTGAACAAAATTATTTTTAAACGTTTTTATATCGTTAAAAAACATTATTTTTAACATTAAAATAAACGTTTTTTTAATAAAAAAGGACTTATCCCATTATTTTTAACATTTTTAAAAATGTTTTTAAAAATATTTTCCAAATGATTTTAAAACATTTTATAAACATTTTTTAAATATTTTTTCCTGATTGGACGGCGTCGCTTAGAATTTCGAAAAGTACCAAAGGTAAAATACGCAAAAAATTTAGAGTGTGTGTGACAATCTTTAATTCTCAGCTGTCTCGAGACACGAAAAAATTAGAAATGATAGGGCATCCTGCAGAGTGTCCCAGATTCTTCCGTAATTTTTATGTGAACATAGAATGGATTGAAATTAACATAAAAGTCCGTTTGCGATATTCGCAATAATAATCAAAGTATTAATTACAGAAGATTGCTCAATAATCACGCGCGATATGGTAGATGAGCTATAGTGGCGATGTGTGCTTGTATATTAGATCAAATTGAACAAAAAAGCCTTTTATCATTTTGCAAATAATCACGTAAATTTTTAGTTATTAATGAAAGAAAATTGTTACATAATTGTGCACAATAACGTTACATAATAACGCACAAATCTTTTTTAATTAATATCTAAAAATCTATGTAATTATTTACAAAATGTTTGACAGCTTTTTGTTCAATTTGATTTAATTTATAAATATGCAACGGTAGACAGCGCCGCTACAGCTGATCTACCATATCGTGTGTGATCATTGATCAATTTTCTTTAACATTTCAGGCCCACTAGGAACTTTAGTTCCCAGGAACGTGTTTACAAATCGATAACTTGAAAAATTGAGATATTTGCTTGCTTGTTTCGCCATATGCAAGAGGTATTCTTCTACTTTGCGAATATAATTTATACTCCTACATGTTCCGTTGTATAGGCAAATCAGAAACACATAATACACTCCATGTTTAAGGTCTATCCACTATAACATCATGTCATAAGGAGAACTAAAAAATGTACTCAGTATGTGATATTATTATAGTTTCGGCGTGCTTTTTTAACATGAGTTCCCTCACTTTTCACGGTACTGAATGCGTGATACTGTTATCATTTCGGAATGAGAACCCACCAATTTTTATTTAAGAAATATAATTTATGTTTTTATATGATTTCTATAAAAAAGACTTGGTCCAGAACGATAGAAACTCAAAAACTATAATTTTAATCATGATGAGGGGTGGTTTTTGTTTCTAAGGGTAGATTCAGGTGGATAGAAAGTTATGACGATTATTTTTGGCATCTACAACACCAACCTATTTAAGCATAATAAAAAATTTGATCGATGAATATTTTCCAAAAAGTCAGGCTTAAAAGGGTTAATTAATATCTCGGGATTTATTGTGAATATCGCAAAACAGTATGGGATTTTTATATTTACCTCAATATGTTCCATGTTCCAGAGGAGAGTCTGAGACACTCTATATAAGTGAGGGCATTTTTCAACTAAAATCCAGTAGTCACTCTGGACATATTTTTTAAGTAAATGTCTGTATATATTGCAGATTTCCCTGGCATGTGTTTTGCATCGACGAAGTGTGCAACCATTGAGCCGACGAAGTCGTGGGAACTTTCACCTTTCTGTGGTCGCTCCACCTGTGTGCCCGCTGATGATAACTCTGGTCGTCTGTTCGAGCTAGTAGAAGATTGTGGCCCTCTACCTAAGGCCAACCCCAAGTGTAAACTCTCCGATAAGACCAACAAAACCGCGAGCTTCCCCGATTGCTGTCCAATTTTTGAGTGTGAGGATGGAACTAAACTGGAGTATCCAGAAATTCCAACTTTACCACCGCCAACCGAGGTGGAAGTAGGAAATGGATCAGAAGTTGCGGCAGCACCAAAATCTTAAGACTCAAAAGCAAAATTGCTAAGAGAAAAAATTACATAAATACAATGAAATTAGTCAGAATAGATTTATTCTAATCACGAGAAAAAACGTCGGATCCATCAATGCGCAAAATATTGATCATATAGACGATATATATAACAAATACGTATTCTAATATTTTTTCGAAAGCAATTTTTGACAGAGAACAGAGATAAATTTTATCGTGCGGCAGAAAAATGATATAATAGACGTTTAGTATAATGTAAAATGAAAAATGATATAATAGACGTTTAGTATAATGCAAAATATAACTATATATAAGTATATATAAAACATATTTAAAACCATTTAATTATTATAACAAAAAACTTATTCAAAATTATTATAAAATATTATTAAAATTATAATTATTATAATGAAAAAATGCTAACTATTCATTTTGCTCAAAGATTATTAAAATACGAAATATTAAACCATCCCGTACAGCATAAAATCTTGTAATTATATTGCAGAAACGCTGTAACGTTGTAAATTATATTATAATACAGAAGCATTCCGAAGACACGGAATTGCAACATTTCTTTGGAACGTTATATTAAACATTATACATTTATTTAATATTATAATGCTATAATTTTTATATTGAATGCCTAACATAACTTGTACTTTTACTTATATACAGATAAACTTTATCAAACTAAATGGAAAAGTTTTGTACCATTTTACAAATAATCATAATAATTATTAAGATATTTATTAAAAATTAATGAATGAATGCGAGTAATGCGTATGTAATAAGTAACAATAGTAGGCAATACGTAATGGTAGACAGTGGAAGGCACTATAAATACTAATATTATAATCCATCACTATACATCACCCACCGTTATTAAAAAATTGTCAATAGATTTAGACATCTTAGGTAAAATTTCGCCTAAAAAGTTCGTCCTATCGCATCACACGTATTTATTTGTCTCAATTTTCTATTATTAATATCTCAAAAATTATTGTAGTTATTTGTAAAATATTATATAGGATGTTCAATTTGATGAGTTTTATTTGCATATAAGCGGGCATACAATAAGATGCATTAATGGCGTTGTTATTGATTGGAAAGGTATAAAAATCCTAAAAATAAAAGTCTGGACAATGTTGCTAGTTTGATACAAAATGGCGTGTACTAGTTGTCGTACAATTAACGTTCGTGCATTCATGCGGTTTATTCTCTATATTGCTGAATTGGCTGTACTAATTCAGTTTTAAATTACTTAATGTTGAAGAGAAAAATAACGAATAAATAATAATAATAAACTAATGTACATTAATTTAGAAAGTTATTTAATAAAAACCTGTGTATAGAATGTTAGGTTATTCTTTTAATGAGATTTCAATTATTTATAAAAAAATTTTAATTAAAAAGACAAGAATATATAATCAAGAATAATTAAGAATTGAATTATTGAAACTTTGTCAATAAAAAAATAAAGATATAAATTGTGAAAATGATAGTAATAAGGTATAACTTGTTATAAACTCTCTATTACTTTATAATTTCATTATCAAAAAATTTAATTTAATTTGATATTGTACATTTCTGTAATAATCTTTTATATGTGGGTTTTAGAATTATTCAATAAAAATTAAATAATATATTCCCAGGTAGCAGAGTGACATCAGAAGACGTCTTATTGACTTTATATTGACGTTAGAGGGTGTATATCAGTTGGACACGGGGCAATTGGACACAGTCCAATCACAAGTCGCTGTTCCAAGGGACCCTACAAATGTCTCTAATCACACGGTGCTGTGATTGGCTGTGTCCAAATGCACCGTGTCCAAGTGCACCGCTCCTGACGTTAGAGACGTCAGATCGCCGTCAATATGACGTCTTCCGACGTTACTCTGCTACTTGAGTTGTTATACTTGTTTTTGGGAAAATATATTGTTATACTTATTTTCTCTATATTGTTGCTTTACAATTATTTCGTATAGTTGGTCGTCAGTGATTACCCAGATAGCCAAACCTGCGCGAACAGATTTTGAGCAGAACTTGCTATCAACTTTTGATGGCAAATAGATAACAAATTGGATGCAGGATCTGTTATATCAAATCTTGCTGCCAAATTGCCGCCAGATATGCCAGAGCTTGTTGTCGGAAAATTGCTGTAGATTTGCAGCAAAAACCGCGCAGAGCTTGTAGCGATTTGACGGCAGATTGGCGGCAGAAACCGCGCAGACCTTGCTGCACTGCAGGCTTTGCGCGGTTTTTGCTGCAAATTTGGCACCAATTGCCCGACAGCAAGATCTGTCGCCAAAACCGTAGCCTAATGTAGACACAGATGGCTATGGTTTTGCTGTGG